AACAACTCTGGAGCTGCCAGCTGCGAGCTGCGAATCGCTCGCTGGCCAAATTACAATGACCGGGCACAGCCGGGCGCCGCGAATCCGGTTACAGCTTTGGCCATATATCGGCTACGATTTTCGGCTTCTTCTGACAGTTGGCCATGGCCAAACACAAACACTCATCTATATATAGATATATGTACATATATGTATATATATACATGTAGCGACCCAGCGACCTAATAACCAAAACAGCAAACGCTCTACATACTTATATGCTCCACTCTCTCTAAATACTCACCAGCTGCGGCAGGATTCAGCAAATCCTTTTGCAATTTACTTTTCACTTTTATAGTAATTTTTTATATTATTTTTAAAGCCCAAATATTAGCTATAAACGTTTGCCGTTTGAAACGGCTGTAGGACTTGAACATACAACAGCAACAGCAGTTAAGGCTTGCAATTCAAAATGCCCTAGCTCTCGGCCAGCTGTGGGGTATACCGTTGTCGTCCATACGAATGTGGCATGCCTGGAATAGCTATAGTCTATGTATTTATCGATGACATCGGCCATTTAGTTAAGATCGATCAAAATCGATAACTAGAATATATCAGCTGGAATACGATCTATTTATATAAGCGTAGCTTTTTTATATAAAATATATATCAAATAACATAAAATTGAATAATAAAATAAAAAAATTATATATTTAAAATATTTTTTTGATTATTAATATTTATTTTGTTAGTATAGGTAGCTATATATATAACTTGGATTTTATTTCAGAGCCCCTTTAGCTTATAGTGTTTAAGCCGTGTGAAGAAGCAGCAGGCAGTCATTGACTTGGCCTGCGTAGAGCTGCAAAACGTGAGTACTACTACTACTACTACTACTAAACACCCACTGCTACACACACAGGCACACAATGACAACATAGATTATATTACTAATACGCAGCGTGGTCATGTCTGCGCCTGCGTCTGTTTTGAAATGTGCTGTCCTGGCGTACTTGGCCTGCATTCGCCAAACCCGGGCATATGCGCTAGCTGAAGTCATATGAAATGATGGGACTGATGTATACTATTTATTTATGTTAATGTATGTGAATTTTGTTAAATAAAAAACCTTTTTTTTATATAAATGCGTACCGGATATATGAATATTAAAAAAAAACAAAATATGTATAAACTGAAAATGTTTCATATCAATTATATATTAATATATGCATGTATTCATATATACATAGATCATTTATATATATGTATACAGTATATATAGTTCTTTGCAGTGTATTACCGAGTCGTCTATGCCTTGTGGTTAGTGCCGTAACCTTGAGCTTGGTACTTTTGCACATTGTACGCTTATTTGTTTGGCCTTGTGCTAAGGTTTGTTATTGTTGCTGTTCAAACGCGCGGACACACACATACACACACACGCACGTGAGCACCCATACTGTTACACACACCCTTGCATATGATATTTACCTCTATATTGATTTTTATTATATAGGTTGCCACACCTCTTTCTGTTATCAGTCCGTGTTGTCATATATTATACATACCATTATACATGTGCATACATGTCTGTGCAAAATTTCACCTACAATTCGTGTACATAGAAACTTACCTTCACCTTACTAGTGTTTAAACAGTAATAAATCGCATTTGACATAGTTTAGAGGCAACTAGCTGTCGTCTCGTATCAAGCAGCTTGCCGCCGCATTTGTTACGCCTGCTCTTGTAGCAAGCAGCTTTCGTATCGCTGCAAAACGGATTGCAATCGGCTTTTGAGAGCATGCGCAGGCATTCTCTTATTGTACTAATTTCATATTTCCGTTAGCTCAACAATTTCGTAGACTCCGAAACTTGAGATGTAACGCATTTCCGCTTTTTGCATGTTCCACACAAAATGAATTTGTTGTCTTTGACGTTTTGGTTTTTTAAATTTATTTTGTTGCTTTGCCATTTATTCATTACATTTGTTTTAAATATATATTTTCTATACATAATACATAGTAGACACGTATTGTTAAACATACATATATATTTATATGCATATATGCACATATGTATACACATGATTTTTATTTTGTAAATATTAATAATTGTTATGCATACCCATTGATTAAGTTCTGTATTTAGTTCTCAACAACATGCATTGGGTCTTTTTGCTTCGACTCTTCCACACACTCATACTTCTTATATACGAATTGTTAACTTTAAAACTTAGGAGAAAACGGAAACGTAGTGTATGCCACGGAATATATATGTATGTATGTATGTATGTATGTTCGAAAACCGATTTGCAACTATTTCTCAAATGATACAGCGGACACAACCTTAAGCTCCAGATTAAAGTATAAATATATATGTATGTACATATATGGAGGAATGTATATAGATATATGTATATATGTAGAGCTATTCGTTTTAGTGTCTCTAACGAGTATGTAGCAAGTTTTTTGAAGAACCCATAGCGAAATATATTTGGTATTTGCCTTAAATTAGCGCCACGATCTTGGCGCTCTAGTCAATTCTGTATGGCCTTGCTTTGTTTTTTTATATCCAAAATCTTTAATTTCCTTTATTTTTTAAATTACATGTATTTACATAAAAAGCTAACGAATTGATTGATCTGGCAACGCCAAATGAAATGTATACAACTTATTAAGCTGGCTGTGATTTGACATAGAAAAGAGAGAGATAGAGAGAGAGGGGAAAGAGAGTGCATACAGAGCTTATGCATAATCAAAATGCTCTGCCTAAGCAAAAAAAAAAATAAAAAATAATAATAATAATAAATAATAATAAAAAGAATTTATTGTTCGTCTTATTTTTAATACATTGATAATTTTACTAATCATATTAAATACACAGAACACTGGCTCTGACATGTTGATTTCAATAGATCTTCGAGTACTTTTAAGTATAAGTATATGTATGTATGTTTATATGTAATTGTTGTAATTCGCATGAATACGCACTACTCTTCCATAGGTATTTCCATATGAGCTGGGATCTCATTTTGCATGTTTTTTTTTTATGTATTTATTTATTTTTGTTGGATTTACGTAAATTCAGTTTTTTTTTTTTTTTTTTTTAATTAGTTTGTCATGTCGTTATTGTAACATATACGATATTCACGCTTATTATCATTCAACATAATTTCAACACATTGCGCTCAAACCGTAAACAATTGAGCTTGACTTGTAAATATATATGTATATATTTATATATATGTATGTATATGTATGTATATTGGATTTTTCTTATAGATATACATTTATAGCATGAAGTAGCCCAGAAATTTTGAAGTTTTGTAGTTTTGCCATTTATAATACATTTTAAATATTATTGGGCTTTTTGTAAGCTCAGCATTATTATTATTATTATTTTTTTTTTTTGGTTTACTCTTTTAAATTGGTTCGATAACAGGGTAACAACAAAAATTTCCTATACGTATACACACACACACACACAGACAGACACACATCGATTAATATTTGTATATTTGCTAAATAATATTGATTACGCTATTGCAGCTCCCATATCGCATATCCAATTTATCATATCATCTGTTGTACCCGTACTATATATATATATATATATATATATATATATATATATATAATTTAATAATTATTTTACTTTTACTTTTTCGTTTTCGTTATCGTTATCGCTTCCCATTTCTTTTCTAGTTGCTTTTTGGTTACTATGTTTGGCCTCAGTTTCGTTTTGTTTGGTGTTTTCATTGCATTTTCAATCTTAACCCGTCGTTTACTTACTATGCTTGTCTAGCTCACATACCATAAATTCTAACATCAATATACATATTTTATTCTCATATTAGTAAAAAAGAAAATAAAAAATTGTTTTCAATATATTTATTATACTATGCATTTGCTTAAATCTTCCACAGACGATAAACGATCACGAATATATATGTATATATATTTATATATATCTGTGCTACTCTACACAACTGGGCTGATCTAAGATCGTACATTCACACAAACACACATAGATGCACGCCTATATATGGTTTAAGAGAAGTAGGACAGGGTATTTTGCAGTGTCATATGAAAAACATGTGAAAACATGTGAAAATACAAATACAAATACAAATGTCTTAAAAAGGTTATAGGACAAGAACTGAAATTTTCTTTGTATGGAAATTAAAATTTTCTTTTTAATCGTTTCAGTTAGGGTATATCATGGTCGAGCTATGCAGAGAGTGCGGAAGAGTCAGACCTTAACAGAAGTTCTATTGAATAAACTAATATAATTTATTTACTTTATTTTCATATTTCGTTTTGGTAAACGCGCGCACACTCACACACACGCACACGCACACGCATACACACACACACGCGCACACACACATACACTTAAAACCCTTTCTATATTTAGCCACAGGAGCGGTTCAACGGCCGCCTTTGCCTTTGGGCGCCACATTTAACGAAATAGTTTGCGTTTTGTTGTTGTTTCTTTTTGTTAATATTGTTAGAAATAGCAACTGTGTAAACATGTATTAAGATTTGAATAAGTTTTGCTCGAGTAAAATTGTAATTGCTTCTTCTACTTCTTCATCATCTCTGTGTTCTAGTATAGTTAACTAAATATGGGAATTCATTGAATGAGAATTGTAAGAAGAATGCTTGCTTTTGGTCAAGTTTTATGTTTCAGATATTGTCAAGTATTTACAGATTACAGATATTGATTGGGACTGCTCTTTATTATTTAATTATCTGTGAGTGTTATATATAAGTTTATTTTTTTTGTATATGTATATTTGTAGAAATATATAATTAATATTGGGAATGTGAAGTTTAGTTTAGAGCTTCTGCTAGAAATGGGCAAGCAGTCGGAACTAGAGACAGAGAAAGATCGAAAGAGACAGGGATAGAGTTAGGTTAGCGTGTGTGGCTTAGATTGAGCGAAAAACTTGCTCTAGATAGGTACTAAAGTTAGTAGCAAGAGGTACACTTGAGTCGTGAATACATAAGATCGTAAATCCATAAATTGTAAAACGTTTATTATTTGTGAAACATTGAAAACCATTTGTAGGAGACCGTTTGTTCAGTTTCAGTTTCAGTTTCAGTTACATAGTTGAATGCCATGATTGGCTTAGGAAATGGAGCAGGAGTTGCGCTTGGCACCCAGGCTGCGCTCCTGTATGCGCTGCAGATGCTGCAGTTGAGCGGGCGTTGGCGTATGGGAGCCATGAGCCCCGCCCCCGGCGGCGCCCGACGATGTGGAGGCCGAGCCGGAGCCGGAACCGTGCGACGACGCCTGATGCTGGTGCTGCTGTTGCTGCTGATGGTGGTGGTGATGGTGGTGCTGGTGGTGCAGCGGTGTACTGGGCCCATTGTTGCCAATTTGTTGCGGCAACGACTGCCGGCGGCGACGCAGCGCCGGACTCAGGTTGTACGTAATCTTGGCCTGGGCCAACAGCTCCTTGAATACCTGCCAATAACAAAGCATCTCGAATTACTAACTACACGACCCACAGACCCACAGACCCACACTGCCAACGGGGCCGCCAGAGGCCAGCACTTGCCTGTGTTATGTTCTCATTGTTGGCCGCCGATGCCTCCACAAAGCCGTTCTCCCAATCGACAGTTACCACCGATTCGGTTGTCGCATATTCCACCTGCAACAGAACAATAACTGTGAGTAATCAGACGGGGGAAATGCGCTTTCAAATACCTGGAATAAAGTTCTATGATTATATGTCCTCAAATAAGATGCAATGAAATGAAATGTGTTTCGTTCTAGTTATATTATAGATTGGCTGGAGCACAAAGAGAGTCTTGTATGTCATTGTCAATAAGAATTTCATAAGGCGAATGGGAAGAGAGAGCCAGAGAGGTAGATCGATAGCGGAGAGACTGGATAGAAAAGAGAGTGTCAGTGCGAGAGCCCCGTAAAGAGAAACAGCGGGAGAGAGAGAGAGATAACGAGAAAGAGCGTCCGATAGGGTATGAGAAGCAATAAATAGAGAAATGCAATGTAAGAGAAAAGTTCAGATATTGAATGGCAGGCTTCGAGAGATATAGGGAAGCAGACCGCAAGTGAAAGAGAGAAAATTAATGTAGGTAGAGGTAGAAGAGAGAGAGAAACAGACACAGATAGCGAGGGAGAGAGAGAGCGGGAGAGATAGAGAGATAGGGAGACAGATAGAGAGAGATCGAAAGAACGATGGTGGAACCACCACCAATAGACATTTTGCGAGCGAGTAGAGAGAAAAGGAGACATAAAGATACAGAGACAGAGGGAGAGGGAGAGATGGAGAGAGAGAGAGAAAGAAAGAGAGAAATAAAGAGAGAAAAAAGAGATATGAAGATAGACAGCCATAGGGAGAGATGGAGAGAGTCAGACGCAAAAAGAGTTATGGAGATATCTAGAGGGATATGCAGACTTGACTCGAAGTGCAAGAAAAAGATATAATTTATACATATGTATGTATGTGTATGTACATACATACATATATGCATCTATTTTGTATCACGGCACAAATATGTATGTATGTATGTATGTGCCACGTGCAGATCACATGTTTGGTATACATATTTTAGAGCTTAAAATGTGTAAAGAAACATACCAAGTGCAAACAGCGCGTTCAAAGAGATTGCACCCAACTGGCAGATACACTATGCATATGTGAATGCATATACAAATATACTAAATCTTTATATTGCAAAAAAACACTTTAAAAACAAAATAATTAATTTATTTGACTAAAACAAAGCTGCAAATGATAGATGTTCGATTTTCAACTCAATGCTTTTTCGTTATCGATAACAGAAAGCAATCAACGATGCTCAGTCTCTTAAAGTCAAATAAGCAGTTCGAACATAAGTTGGCTGTGGACTAGATTTCTTTTTGGGTATGGCACTGAAAATTTAACCTTAATGAAAACCATTTTTTATTACAATAGCCTTGCATTACTCTGAAGCTAGCACAAATCGAAATTATCAACGAATTTTCATGGAAGAGAACCAGAAATTACCACCAATTGGATCAGAGCGGGCCGAGCGCATGGCAGCCATGAATAGTTCAAACATAAACGTAAGTTCGACCAAGGACCCCAAGGACCCGGCCTCTCAATGGCGTGGCGATCTACAAAAAGTAAGTATCTCTTGGTTTGTTGCTAAATTAATTTAGGCGGCCCACTATCACACTATCACAATTGCAATCCCAAACACAATCGCAATCGCAGAACGTTGAGAATCCGAACAGTGCAGAGCTGGAGGCCTGGTTGCGCGACAAGCGCGAACGTCAGTTTGAGCGCGAGCGTCGGCAGCGCTTTGAGATATGGCACTTCACCGAGGAAGAGCAGAAGGATGACCCGAAGGTGGAAGCGAAATCATCGCTGGAGAACTCCTTGTCGGAGAGATCGTCGCTGGAGAAGAAATCACCGCTGGATAAGGAATGTTCGCTGTCGTCGTTGCTGCTTAAGGAGAAGTCGCCGATGATCCAGAGGCAGAAGCTGACCGAGCAGCTGATTAGTGCGCAGAATCAGACGCGCCGTCTCTTGCAGAGCATTGATCAGTTGCTGCCCTCGTTGCCCAATCGCCAGCTCTTTCAGCAGATGCTGACGCAGCTGCGCCAGCTGAGCGGGCTGCTCAAGCGCCAGCTGCAATGGCAGAAGCAGCAGGATACCTACGACAAAGAGCCGACTCTGCAGGAGCTGGTTGATCAGAAAGCAGCGGCCGCAGCAGCAGTACTGGCATCAACATCGACGCCAACCACGGGCATTGTCGTAACTCCAGTTGCTTTGGGGACGACTCCGTCGACTCCGCCGCCCCCTACTGCAGGATCCTGCTCGTATTTTATGTATGCACCGCCATGGGCACAGACTGGCCAACAACAGCCGCCACAGCAGCAGGCAGGACAGCAGCCGCAAGAGGCGCAGCAAGACCAGGAGGACAAGAAGGAACAGCAGCAGGCCCAGCAGCAGGAGCAACAGCAGCAACTGCACCAGCAGCAGCAACAGCAACAGCAGCAACAGCAACAACAGCAGCTGCTAGAACAGCAACAACAGCTACAACAGCAGCAACAGCTGCAACAGCAGCATCAGCTACAACAGCAGCAACAGCTGCAACAGCAGCAGCAACAGCAACAGCTGCAACAGCAGCAGCAACAGCAACAACAACAGCTGCAACAACAACTGCAGCAGCAGCAACTACAACAGCAGCAACTGCAGCAGCAGCAACTGCAACAGCAGCAGCAGCAGCAGCAAATCATGCAGCAACAGCAATTGCAGCAGCAAATCATGCAGCAGCAGCATCTTCATCAACAGCAGCAGCAGCAACAGCAACAGCATCAGCATCAGCCGCAACAGCAGTTCCAATTGCAGCAATTGCAGCAGTTGCAACAACAGCAGTCACTGCAGCATCTGCAGCAAATGCAGCAACCACAGCTCCAAATGCAGCTGCCACAGCAGCAACAGCAGCTGCACCCACAGCAACAGCAACAATTGACCAAAATGCCACAGTTTCCGCACTGCTCCGGTCTCAACTTCAAGGCGCCTGTCTTCATCAACAACGGACTCATGCCACATACAGCTGCCGGACCACCGCCCGGAAAGTATCGCGTTTGGTATATGTCGCACAATGCTATGCCGCACGAGCTGGCTGCAAATCATTGGGGCTTGCCGCAAATGGAGAACGGCAACTATTTCAACAATGGCCCCCATCTAATTGGCAATGCCAACATGAACGAGGGCATCAACAACATGAATAATAATAACATCAACATGCAAGCTAGCAACAATTTGAACAACAACAACAATAACATGAATAATATCAACCAGAACAACTTCAACAATAATGACAACAACAACGACAACAACAATTGCAACGACAACACTCTCAACAACAACAACAATCGAGCAATTCCCGTCTGGCCAAACAATATGAATTAAGAAATGAAATCAAAATTAACAAAATTGATCAAGAAGAAGAGGAGGAAGAAAAAGAAGAAGAAGAAGAAGAAAAAAAATTATCAAATCGAAATGCAACTAAATTTAAGCACCACAAAATTTGCAAAAAAAAATCAACGTTTGGACCCGAAGTGACGGCGCTTGAAAGCAAGCAAATGCATCTACATAAGCATATGTATCTCTACATACACACCCTACATATGATTATGAGACGACGTATTACACACACACACCTACATACATATATATACACACACACACACATGCCTATGACAGACATATATATGTATATATATGTATACATTATAGTATATTTTATTATATATGTATATGTATATTTATGTATTTATATAAATCGATAAGCGTGAGACCCGTATATGTATATATGTATGTATTACACATTTTCACAAGGAAGATAAAAAAACTAAAAGCAAAACAAAAAAAAAACCAAAAAAAAAAAACGAAAAACAACACACACACAACAACATACACATAAACACACATGAAGTCAAATAGTCGGAACTGAGCAAATGAAAATTCAAGTTCAACTTACACAAAAACACAAAAAAAAAAAATGCAAAAAATGTAAAAAAAATGAATAAAATAAAAAAAATACAAAAAAAAAATTTACACGAAAAAAAAAACATTGTATTTAATATGTATATTAAGGGCAATTTTCGTTCACTGAGAGATTAAGTATTAATAATATTAATAGGGCATCTACTCTATCCAAGAACCTTTCCTCTTCCATCATCATCAACAACAGATTCATTTTACGATCTATGCCGGGTGGCAATAATACAAGAAATACGCTGAGATATTTCATTGGGTTTTAGTGGCTTTTGGAGTTACACTCGTGCCATTATGTCTGAAATAACAGACGATGATTTACATACATAACAGCCTCAGCTCAGCTCAGCTGTGCCTAAAATGTCGGCTTCCATTGCGAATGACTTGCATAAATATTTGCTCTGCTATGCAGGCAATAACATTTAGAATGTTGCGCCTGCAGCGACGTTGCCGTGCTGTTATATTTATTTGCCTTACTTCACGATAATCTTGGTCGTAATGCTCAAACTTAACTGTGTGGCAAATTGCTTGCATACTGAAGTCATCTATGAAAGAAGGATGAAATTCGAGTTTTTTTTTTTAGATATAAGCAGGAATTTCAACAGACCTACAACATTTAATAATGAAATGGCAAAGCATATTTTATTCGATAGGCACACATAAGTGGACCAGAGTTGCCAATGTTTGTTGAGCAAAAAAAAAAGCTGTTTTTGGTGGGAAAATACTTTAAAAAAAAGCTGAAAATGTTTGAAAAAAATCGGTCAAAAGAGTAGATGTTTTTTACTTTAAGTTGATGGAAATTTAAATATATTTTAACAACTTGAATCATTTCTTAAACCACCGCAACCCATATCTGTGAAGTTTTATAATATATATATATATGTTTTACTTGACGCTTGAAATTGAGTATTGATTATTATTATTATTATTATTATTATTTTTAAATAATTTTATTAAGTGTAGAACCGGTACAACAACAAAAATAGGACCATAACAACACAGGGAGGTAAATTAATAATTGAGCCGAACCCCACACCGAGTTAAGGGGATTTTAAACAGTATTGATCTGAATAAAAATTTTACCCACTTGCGCATTTGCAAATAAAGTAATGCAAAAGTGGCCAAGTTCCTAAATT